TATATATATATATATATATATATGTATATATTTGTATATATATATATATATATATATATATATATTTATTGATAAATGTTGTATACTGCTGGAAATACAACTCTTGTCTGTTTAAGAGTGATCAATATCTTTTTTTAAAAAATAGATCAAATTAAAATAAAATAATTTAAATGAAAAAAATACAACTTTATGATGGAACTAAAAGTTTAATGCCATTCGGCAATCATCAGCCATATTATTCATGTAAAAAATAAAAACCGTTATAAAAAATACAAATTTAGCGTTGCAACGGCATCTGACATCAATTGTACGTGATCCGATATTTGCTAATCGCCGGAATCAAAGTTAGATAGTAAAAATTTTTTCCTATGCCTACAAGCAGAAACCAATTCACTTTTTTTGTTAAGTAGTAGTCGGCTATCAAAAGTCATAATAAAATACTTTTCATTGATGCAAAGGTTACACTTTTTTGTAGATGGGTTAAAAGATTGGCATCTTTTAATTATGTTCCACTTAATTATAGGCATGTTACCCGCGTCTTTAAGTTTCCAGATTTCCTTGGAAAGTTCCGTATCATTCCTATACCTGGTTGCATTAAATGATTTAAGATGGTTTGCAAATCTGAACTTGAATGTGTTTTCACTAATTCCGATGTAGGACTTTTCGGTAAGACTGGTATTAGGTGATTCTAAAGTGGCTTTATAAACAACATTTTTTGATAGACATTGATTATTTAACGGGCATGTGGTTTTATTAATGCAGTTTCAGTTTATATCATTATCGGTAAGTTTGTTGCGCAAAATTTGTTGGTTGTGTGAATTAATTATTAATCGAATATTTGGCATGCAGCTGTAACTAATTTTTATTGTGTTTCTGTTGAATATTTTGTGGAGCTTATGATGTAATGGAAAATGCAAGTCAATTAAGTTTAAGAAAACATGTCCAATTTTTGTTATCACATTTTTACTGTAAGGAGGGTTAAACCATATAATATTTCTTTTTCGTTTATTAGTAATAGAAGAATTTAGATTTGAATGATATTGGAGAATGGTGTGAAATCCAGATTTTTCTAATGCGTCATTATAAATTGGAGCAGTCAGTCAGTAATAAAATAAATTATTTTATTGCATAGTTGTAGTGCTCTGCATATAAATTGATGATGAAAACTGTGTAGATTGTACGGTTTAAGTTGTTGATTTATTTGAAATATGTTCTATGTTCTGAATATTAATTTTGAGTAGTAAGAATAAAATCATATAGTATGCATTGCTAATTAAATAAGTAAATTATAAGACTTGAACAGTAATCAAAGTTAGATAGAATAAACGTTTTGAAGAATTGTAAATGAACTTTAAAGGCAAGACCAAATATATTAGTTATTGAGAATAATTTTCTATAAGCTTTTGCTTTTATCTCTTTTATGTGTTTAGTAAAATGTAATTTGCTGTTAATAATGACACCAAGCAAAGAAAATGAATATTACTAATTCAATTTCGAACTTACCACATCAATTATATTACTCATGTAATATGATTGATGTGGGCAATATTATTTTGGTTGTATGTTTATTTGTTAAAATCATTGCTTTTGTTTTATTCAAATTGATGTTTAGTTTATTAGAATAGCACCACTCTGTAAATTTATTAAATGCTGATTTATATTTGTATCAGTTGTCATTAGAGTTGTATCATCTGCAAGAAATGTTGGTTCAAATAGCGTTAGATATTCGGGTTGGTCATTTATGAAAACCAAAAAAAAAAGAAGTCCTAAAGTTGAACCCAGTAGTATACCGATATTACCTTTTTTTTCATTAGAGTATGCATCTGTAACTTTTGTATATATTTTTCTATTATGAAAGTAGTTACTTATTAAGTTCAAAGCATCAGTTGAAAAACTGTAATGCTTAAGTTTTATAATCAGTAATTTGGAATCTAATAAGTCAAAAATTTTTCTGAAATCCCTAAATAATAATAATGTAAAGAGTTTTTTGAGTTGCTTAGTTTTACTTAGATAAGAATTTGCAATGCAGTTTCGCATGAATGAATGCATCTGAAACCGTGTTGATCATCACTGAATAAATCATTTTGTTCAAAGTATGTAGTTATTCTTTTAGCAATTATTTGTTCAAACACTTTTGTTAATGGAGAGATTATAGTAATACTTCGATAACTATTAATATCGTGAATATTACCTTTTTGTTTATAAAGTGGCATAATGCTGCCTATTTTAAATTCACTTGTAGTACAGCCTGTTTTATCCTAATATAATAAAATATTCGAAATATGTATTGGTACATCTTAATAATCTTGTAAGAAATACATTTAAAAAATGTAATTTTAACAAATTAAAACTGATTTTTATAGGGCTAGGACTTTTTACCTTAGACTTCCTTCACAAAGCCAATTTATTTTTTAAAGAGAGTTAGTATCATTCTATTAGAAACTAAAGTATTTAGCTGCCCTAACTTGCCCCATTTTGAAATAATGTGGTTATAAAAAGCTCATTTTGAAAAAAAAAATTAGCAATGTAAAAGCTAATTTGACGTAAATAATCTTTAATTTTTATGTTTTGAGAGTATTTCCAGAACAAAACTTTTTTAATGTTAATATATATATATATATATATATATATATATATATATATATATATATATATATATATATATATATATATATATCAAACTAATAATAACTAACAAAAAATAATTTATCCCTTTTGGATGATTACAAACAATGGTTATATTACAATACAAATAGTTTATCTTTTCTACACTCATCTATCAGATCGTTATGTTCAAGATTTTTTTTTAATATTTAGTTTTTGCATTATTTCTACGTATGAATTTTTAATGCCACGTTAATCTCACATGAAACTTATTGAAAAGTTGCAAATGAAAGGGGTTAATGATAAGACTTCTACTTGCTCCTATCATTATTTTAATGTATTATATATATATATATATATATATATATATATATATATATATATATATATATATATATATATATATATATATATATATATATTTTTTTTTTTAAAGATTTATAATCTTTTTTTGTCTACCTTTTTTTATCAACATAGAGCGAATTTTCAGTAATTTTGAATAAATATTTTCAAAAAAAGTTAATTTTGGCCTAATTCCTGATCACTGTGCGGACTCTTAAACATTAAATGGTTTCTTAAATATTATGAAAATGGTTTCAAGAAAAATTTTTTTTCAAAGTATGTTATTAAGTTCTCAAATGAAAGGAAATTATATAAAAATTAAAAAAATTTGAGACATTTTGTTATTAAATTGTTGTTTTAGATCTCAGTGAACAGAAAATACATGTTTTAACTAAAAACAAAAACTAGGGAGTTATACTTTTTTTTTTCTATGTTTTTTTAAAATGATAATTATTTTTAAAATTTTCATATAATTTTGCTTTGTTTGACTGAGAGTTTAGTTTGGGGTAACAATAATAATTTTAATTTTTTTTTTCCTTTTTGCAAAAAAAGTCTAAGGATATACATATATATATATATATATATATATATATATATATATATATATATATATATATATATATATATGTATATATTTATATATATATATAATATATATATATATATATATATATATATATATATATATATATATATATATATATATATATATGTATGTATATCCTTATATATATATATATATATATATATATATATATATATATATATATATATATATATATATATATATATATTATATATATATATATATATATATATATTGCGTTAGCACACAGAGATCTTTTCACCCTGTTTGTTAATTAAGTTTTATACAAGAATTTAATAGATGGTACTAAATTACTTTCTTTAAACTCTCATATTTCTTTGCAAAGCTCTGTGTGGTGTTAATATTTATTGTTGTTAAATGACTTTAAATGGTTTGCGTAATGAACTTATAAAGAGCTTGCGCTTAAGCCAATATATAATTTGTCTTTGTATTCAGGTTTGTTAGAACATACTGTTGCTTGGTATACAATGTTATTAGCTCAATTAGCAGACAGATTTACTAACACAAAATTTTTTCTTTTACTATATTATTATAATTGTTTAAAATATTTCTGTTGTGAGAACCAATTATGGATTTGATGTTTGATATACAAGAATAACTAAACTTAATTGAGTTTTTGTTAAGTATTTTGTTTTTTTAAGCTATCGATCAAAATTGTCAATAAAGTTTGCAATTACTGGCAAATTAAATATTTATAAAATACCAAAAATAGCAAAAAATATTTATTTACCTTATTTCTTTTTTTAGACATATGGTTTTTAAAAAAGAAGAATTCAAGAAGCGATGTATTTCATTTTATGCTGAAATTGTTGCTGAATTTTGTTTTTCAAGAAAAGATTTTGATAGAGTGGATACAAATGTCATTGAGAATATTCTAGATTATGTTTTTACTTCCAAAACCACTAAAGTATTTTCCTCATTACCAAATTGTCCACTCAATCCAATTCCTGTCATTCGCTCATATTTACTTCAGCAACTTCTTCAAAGGTTTATAATTTCATTTTTAATGTGTTTAGTTTTAAGATTTTGTAATGATTTTGTTAATTTGTATGACTAACTATAGTTAGAGCTGATTGATTAATCATTTTCTTGACAAGTCCGCATGTGGTGTAGTGAAAGAGTGCTTGCTTTGTTAGCAAGAAGTTCTGAGTTTGATCATCATTGATGCTCAACTTGTTTCTGCGCATAGCAACCTTGTTTGTCAAGGTTTGTATTTCAGAGTTGAAAAGTTGAGAGAGGGTTGTAACCACAAGTAGCCTCCTTAACTGCCATGGCACCTTCAGCTTTGGGGAGGTGAATATCAAAAAAAAAATAGCAAGTCTATTTGAAAGAGTTAATAAAATCATAAAATGATTTAATTTTTTTTTTTTGTGTGTAATTTGTTATTTCAGTTTACATAGTCTCTTATTTAACCTTAAAGTAAATTATCTTGATTTTACTTTTTCTT